CCACCAAGGGTTCCATTACCTCCGTCCAGGCCGTCTACGTCCCTGCTGACGATTTGACTGACCCTGCCCCCGCCACCACCTTCGCTCACTTGGACGCCACCACTGTCTTGTCCCGTGGTATCTCCGAGTTGGGTATCTACCCTGCCGTCGACCCTCTCGACTCCAAGTCCCGTATGCTCGACACCCGTATCGTCGGTGAAGACCACTACAACACCGCCACCCGTGTCCAGCAGATGCTCCAGGAGTACAAGTCCCTCCAGGATATCATTGCCATTCTGGGTATGGACGAACTGTCTGAGGCTGACAAGCTTACCGTCGAGCGTGCTCGTAAGCTCCAGCGTTTCCTGTCCCAGCCCTTCACCGTCGCCCAGGTCTTCACTGGTATCGAGGGTAAGCTGGTCGACCTGAAGGACACCATCCGCAGTTTCAAGGCCATCATCAACGGTGAAGGTGACGACCTTCCTGAGGGTAAGTTGATCTCTCCACTTTCTGTTTGGTGATCGGCATGGATGCTAATTTGTTTATCTACAGCTGCTTTCTACATGGTTGGTGACTTCGAGTCTGCCCGCGCCAAGGGTGAGAAGATCTTGGCCGAGCTCGAGAACAAGGCCTAAATGTAATATTGTTTTTAAGCGCCCTTTTCCTTTTTTGTTAGACATGGACTTCCTTTCTTCCATGTGCCGTTTTCTACCGATCCGTGTACAGTACTCGAATTGAGAAAAGGGAGTTGAAAGAAAGGCGAGGTCCCCCCTATATAAAAGGATGAGAGCGCTCTTAACGTACACCTCTCTGAAAGTCTGGATGGAAACTTCTAGACTTGTGTTACACTACGTGCTCATGTAAGTAAGTTAAAATGACCACAGTCAGCCTGATACCCGCTGGGCTGGGACAATTGTACTCAAATTTCCTTTGTTGAACCGGGGGACCGTGATATCTGTTGCGTAGACATTCCTGTAGCATGTAATCTGTAAGATTCCAAACGAGCCATACGTCCCTTCTATGCCACGTATCAAGTTCTCGTTATCGTGCCTTGTTCTGCATAGTATATCCCATGTATATCTTCCACCACTGTATTGCAACTGCTTCACAACAATCTCAGCGACATTCAATATACATTGATATTTGGTTTCACTTTCATCGAGTCAACAGTAGTATTCCGTGGTATCTGTATATAGAAGTGGAGGGAACGTAGAGGGACTGCATCGATCTTCTTAGCTGAGAAGATGATCACGAAAATGAATAGACAAGAGGATGGGACCGAGAGCTCAATTATATATAGTATTGAGTATTACTAGTCAGTAGTAGTAGTACTGATGCTCTGGTTTGAGGGGATTCATAGTACTACTACCAGCAGGTATATCGCACTGGTAGTATGTGCTACTAGTATGCAGAGGTGGCAGTATGATAGGTTGGGGTATGGTTTATTTTACTGTCAGGCTGCTTACTTACTAGTACTTACTGCCTGGTAGTACTATGATCGTGTGTCACCGATAACTTACGGTGCGGTAATAAGGTGTGCTAACTGGTACTCTTTTCATATGAGAGACGATGAGACTCCAATATCATGATATAGTATCGAAGGAATAAATCCAGAGTGACATTAACCGACGCTACGGACTAACTTATAACAAAATGATCAGTGCTGCTTGCTTATCCACTAATCATCTCCCCCAGGGTCAATGCTGCAATTGTCTGAATCCAATGGCTTTAGTCGATGAGGAAGATCGAGAGATATACACGGAGATCGATCGACCTATAGGGTCTCTTCCAAGGCAAGAACCTATAGATGAACACAACTATATTAGCATGCTATGTCTTGGATGAATTGGACTCATTCGCACTTACCAATGCTGTTCGCGTAGGAAGATAGACCTGTAGATAATTGCTGCGCCCATTCCAGGGCAGGTCTGTAGTGAAGAAGCGCGTCTCCTTGAGATTGCGACCGAAACCACCAAACTCCTTGTCATCGGTGTCAAGTACGATTCTGTAGGTTCCGGCTTGCTCGACGCCCACTCTGTAGTCCGTGAAGCTGTTTGAGGGATGAAAGTTAAAGATCCAGAGGAGGCCTGCACGTTCAAAGACAAGGACCTTGTCACCCTCGTGCTTCAGGCTGATGTATGCTTGTGGGGAATGAAGCCAGCCGTATTTCTCTTCGGTTAATTGCATGGCGCGGTCGAAGTCGTTCAGGAATTTGTAGCGAAGGAGGTGGTCTTCCGTTAGGTTCAGTTGGCGACGTGCGTACCAGAATGAGTTGTTATTACCGGCACGAGGGAAGTCGAGCCATTCGGGATGACCGAATTCGTTACCTTCGAAGTTGAGATAACCCTCACCACCGAGTCCATGTGTAACTAGGCGGAGCATCTTGTGTAGAGCCATGCCTCTTTCAATAATGGGGGTGAACTCTGTCAACACGGACATGTGGGTGTACATCTCCTTGTCACAAAGCCACATCATGATGGTTTTGTCGCCAACAAGTCTGTCCTGATTCAGCTGTGGTCAAATGAAACAATTTGGATAGATGGACTTACGCCTGATCATGACTCTCCGCGTAGGCGATCGTCTTTTCCCCGTGACGTCGGTTGACCAACGTGAAAGAGAGGTTGCCAATGTCCCATTCATCGTCCGACTTCTCCTTCAAGAGCTTGATGTACATGTCTGGAATTGCCATGGCAAGTCGGTAGTCAAATCCAACACCTCCAAGGGCGTGCGGCAAGCACAGTGCTGGCATTCCAGATACATCTTCTGCCACAGTTATACAGTCGGGATATAGACTGTGGAGCATTTCGTTGGCCAAGGTCAGGTACATCACACCCTCGCCATCTACCGAACCACCAAAGTACTCGTGATATCCGCCAGAGAAACCACTATTGCGAAGTTAGTGTTGTAATGAAGAGATACAGGAGCCTGATTACGTACGTTCCTATCCCGTGATGGGTATAAAGCATACTTGTAACACCATCGAAACGGAAACCGTCAAACTTATATTCTTCCATCCAGAAGCGGAGATTGCTCAGGAGGAACCTCAGGACTTCATGGCTTCCGTAGTTGAACAGACGACTGTCCCAGAGTTCATGCTGACCCTTTCCCCCGGAGTGAAAGTAGAGATGGTCAGAGCCATCAAACATGTTCAGCCCGTCCAGGACATTTTTGGACGCATGACTGTGGACGACGTCAAGAAGCACCACCAAGCCCATGCTATGTGCTGTATCTACTAGCTCTTTCAGGTCTTCCGGCGTACCATAGCGACTGCTGGCCGCGAAGAAGCTATTGACCTGGTACCCGAAGCTGGCGTAGTAGGCATGCTCCATGATGGCCATAAGCTGGATTGCGTTGTACCCCAGATACTTGATGCGAGGTAGCATATTTGCAGTGAATTCTTTGTAAGTTGCGACTCTCGTTTCCGGAGAAGAAATACCCACGTGGGCCTCATAGATACGAAGGCTTTCGGGCCTCTTTGGGCGAGAATGTTTGAATTGATACCGCTCGGTTGCTGGAGGGTTCCAGAAAACCGACTCATATGTCGGAGACACAGTAAGGTCTTGCACGACACGCTTGATCCATGCAGGGATTCGGTAGATTCGTTCTCCTTCGGGAGTGACCATAGTTATCTGCGAAGCGCAGCGATGTTAAAAACAATAAGCCCTGCCTATTTGACTCTAAACTCACTCACCTTGATTTTGCTGTCATGAGGGATCACCGGGACCCCATCCTTTGCTGGCAATGTGATCTCCCAGACACCGAAGCTATTCTTCGTCATCGGGTGGGCCGTGACATCCCAATTGTCTGCCAGTCTCAGTAATGTTTCACCGGCTGATATCCTCCGCATAGCTAGACGTACTAAAATCCCCAACTAGCTCAGCCTCGACAGCATTGGGTGCCCATTCTCTGTAAGTGATGTCCCCATTGGCGTTGACATTGATACCGTATCTCTCGTAGCCCTATCGGAAACGCCATGTCAGTTGGTGCTGGCCATTCCAAGTAACCCAGTTGGATGGTGTCAATCATTTCGAACAATAGTAGAAGAACGATATGACACTTACCCTGCTAAACTTGTCCAACCCGCCCTCAGTTTCATTAATCGTCTTGACCCAGCTCTCTACGAACTGGAATCTCTGCTTCAGAGCATCCCGGAAGGGCTCAAGCCAAGGATCAAGCTGGATAACGCCTATGGAAACAATTAGATGAAGGTAAGACAACGATGACAATCAAAACCGCTCAAACCAAACCAACTGACCTGTACCATCTGGAGGCGCCGATTGAAGGGCAGTTTGAGTTTCGGTAGAAGCCATGGAGAATGGATCGCCAGTGGCAGGAGATTAAGCTCTGGAAAGGGTGGACCGTAGGGATAGGATGGATAATACACAAACAAGTGAGGGAATCTAGTCAACAGCGTCAAAACAGGATGGACTCATGAGAAGAACAAACAGGACGAGGTGGGGAATCCCAACCGATGGGAAAAGGTAGGAGGAGGTGGTTGAGGCCATGCGGGGGAAAGTCGAGGCCAAAGCTCCTCTTTCTTCCCTGTTGGTTTGCTGGGTTGCTGCTGCTACCCTCCCGCCGTGACATCACTGCAACCCCTGCTTCTAGACCTGGTCTGCCCAGCCCCTCTCCCCTCTCCCCTTATCTTTTTTTCTAGTCGGTCGCTTGCATTTCTCAACTTTGAATAACGTCCAATTAATCGAGGTGAGATGCTGGGTCATACGGCTTATTTTTGCATACATCTTGTTTTGAATGGTGTGAGTATCCGAATTTCATTCGGTCGTGATAACGCGACAGCAGGAAGCTGAGCTTTGACTTCAGGTACGGAAACAGGTACCCGCCCTGCGCAGCAACTAGGGGCCCGAGTGATCTGAGGACTTGTCGTATTCATCGAAAGGGCTTCGCAGTAGGTAGGGGACACATCATAATGCAGTGCGACAATGTGTTTACAATAAGGCTCAAAACAATAACTATTCGTGGAGAAGATTAAAAGTCACTATGTTACACAAAGCTTGCGCAGCAGCTGGTGAGATTTGAGCTACATACCAAGCTACTATAGATCCCCCCCCTACAATTCACAGCTACCAGCATATTCCGAATTATAGCAGGTTCGACTTTACACGTAGCAGACACCCTGCTCGCCCTGTTCGCCCTGTTCACCCTGCTCACCCTGCTGGCCCTTTTCGCCGAATCCAGAAGCTCCGGTGGGACCCTGGGGAGAGTTTCCAGCACCACTGGGGGCAGCAAAGCTGGGAGCGGAGGTGGTAGACCCCTCCTGGGCACCCACAGCGGGGCTGGGGGCAATGGCAGCAGCGCTGGATACCACGGCGGAAGTGGCGGCGGGGATGCTCTCGCTAGGGGCGACAGCGCTGGGCACAGAAGCAGCAACGGAAGCGCTGCTGCTATGGACAGTGGCATGGCTGGCAATGGAAGAAGCAGCGGCAGTAGAAGCGCTGTTGGCCATCAGAGCACTGTAGGGGGTGGCACCCGGGTAGAAAGAGGTAGGGATGGTCGGGATGGGGATAGAGACAGTAGAGCCGAAGTCAGTGGTCAGATCGGCGGCCATGGAGGTCGCAGAGTAGCCCGAGGGAGCGGAGCTGACTGTAGAAGTGGTGACCGAGTAAGAGACGTGGTCATCGCTGTCCTGAAGGCAGTATCCGCTGCCATAAGCACTCTCACAAGAGTACCACTGACTATCACCCTCCTCGGTCCACATGGCGAAGTCCTCAATGGTAATGTCGTAGCAAGGGGCACCATCAGCACAGACCACCTTGACAGGACCACGCTCAGCACCGTAAGCTTCGGTTCCCTTCCAGTTCTTCACGGTGATGTTGCTCAGCTGGACACCATCGCCGTCCACCGCGCTCATACTGGCCCAGTAGCTGTCGATATCCAGAGAGTAAGCGTTGCCGTGTCCTGTTTACCAACAGAAAGAGTCCTCGGTTAGTCCCGTCAAGACCAATAATTTTGCATAAGATATCACTCACCAATGAAGTTCTCGAGGAGGACATTCTCGACGAAGCCGCTACCTCCGTTGCTCTTGATCAACATCATGTTGTTCGAGCTCCAGGTGTAGATGTTGCGGTAAGTGATGTCGCTAACATTGGTATCAGAGCCAAACGAGCCCATACCACAGCCACCACTCCAGTTGCAGTAGATGCTCTCAATGAGGATGTTCTTCGATGGGCTCTATTATTGATTGTTAGCCTGAAGCTTCCTGCTCGGGCACTCATCAGGGTCTTACCTTGACTGTGACACACTCGTCCTTGTTCGTCACCTCGACCTATCGGACTAATTAATAACCTGTATGGAAACGTTATGCTCTTCGGTACTCACATCGTGGACCCAGATGTTGTTACTCCAGACATCAATACCATCCAGACCACCATGGTTACCGCCGCGGATTGCCATGTTGTAGATTTCGCCATTGGTGCAAGTGTCGAGAGAGAAGTGGAAAGAGGGAGAGTCAACCAGGATGAAATCGTGGACCGAGAAGTCAGTAACTTCATAGAGTCGCAGCAGACGAGGGCCGCTCCAGTTATCATCGGCATGGAACTCGTAGCCCAGACCCTGCATGGCACCTTCGGAGGTGCTACTGAAAAGTTCGAAGTCGCTAGAGTGCTCGATATAGATCATGTTGCCGCCGTCCGTGCCAGTACGGTAGATGATTCCATCGATCTGCAGAGCCCATGCCTCACCACCGCTCAATCTCGCCCAAGTGGAGAGAGCATAGTCACCAGAGGGGACATAGACGAGACCGCCAGACTTGCAGTCAGCGAAGGCAGATGCCAACGGCGCGCCCAGATCAGTAGACTTATCCGCCTTAGCACCGTAGTCCAAAACGTTGCAAGTCTTGGTAGCTGCCTTGGTGGACGCGGATGTCAGCGGTCCCACGGAACCGGAGAGCTGCGCAGCAGCAAAGATGGGCGCCAGGCCCAGGAAAGAGAGAACAGAGAGCTTGTCGAGAAGCATGATGCTTCGTCGAGCTTGAAGGAAAGAAAGGAATGTGGGGGTTTACAAAATAAAAAAAGAGTGAAAGGAAGTGAGTCTAAGCACCCCTAAAGAATGAACATTGAGATATCTAACGAATCATGCCCACGGCAGGGGTTCCTAGGCGCTCTCTTTATAGGGAAAAGCTATTCAAGCGCTCCTCTGACAGTAGTCTATTTCCCGCTGTCATCATTTCTATTTCTAGAACGTTTTGCCGGTGCCATACCGGAAACCTCTGACACGACCAGAGTGAACTAGATGAAGCTATCGATACTATTGCTGGAACCCACAAAACAATTTGCCTGGATGAGGAAGTAGCGGCGCAATCCAAAACATCGAAAGAGCGGGATCGATGCGCTATCTCCCGGTTGAGACTTGCTCCATGCTTAGGGCGTTTGTCTTAGATAATTTGAATGGGGCATTAGCCCCGCCTATCGACTCAAGTAGATTGAAGGGCTCAAGGGGGCATATATACTGGGCAGTTCACTCCTGATCAGACCATCAGGCAGGCCTTGAGAGAGTATAGTAAGCGGAAGATGCAAGAGTCCTTTTGATGAATCTAATTGATAGCTGACGACTCAGTTAATATTGCTTAATCAAAGCGCAAGAATCTTTTACCAGTTGCCAAGCAGAAAATTTCGAGCTTCCATAGGGATTGCTGGGAATTCCCTCTCGCCTACCCCAACAGGGGTGGGAATTTCAATCTGAAACGCCCGAAGTCAAGACTAAGCCGATGGCCCGTAGCACTGATCAGGGGATTGGGCGGATACTCTCAATCGGAGCATAAGCTCTTAAATAAGGGTCTGTCATGCATGCTAAATTGCAATATAGTTTGTGATCTAAATGGATTTTGTTCGGATTTCTAAAGAGATAAGTTAGGCCAGCCCGGGTGATTGCCGGGCCCAATGCTGGAGGGTAGATACAGTTGAAGCCTTGTGGTTATTGAAAGGAAATGAGGTTCCCCTGCCGAGCGGTGGACTCGGCGCTAGTGACCTCCGTGCTTGCCGACCGGACTTGCTTGCCTCTTCGGAGTGTCGCCGGCCACATTGTGCGGTCACAACTGAGGCCTCCTCTCTTCAGTCAGGCCCAGTGGCTATTGCGATTGTTTATTGAGAACGCTAACAGGTCAAGCACAGGGAATAGAGGTTGTTTTTATCGTTTCATGAAGTTCTATGATTAAATATATAGCCATGTCTGCCCGCCCCGCAACAGCATAATAGGCAACATGTGTTCGACAATACAGGGCGAAAATGAGTAGTAATGTACAATGAGGTTCTCGTTGCTATTCATTGCCGGCATTCAAACCAGGCTGACTCCCCAGAAAAAGAGTATATGCAAACCTGATGTGAAGGACATCACTGCAGACCACCGTGACTGTGCACCTGAAAGTTGAATGATTAGCATCGGCTTCTCCATCAGGCAACAACACAACGGAGAGCACTCACCATTTACAGGTTCTGACCAAGAGTCGCGACAACGCTGCCGACAGTAGAGCCAAGGGAGGGGAGGCCAAGGCCAGAGAGAAGAGAGGAGACGTCGGAAGACAGCTGAATGAGGAGGTAAGAGCCGTCCTGGCCGACGACGGTCAGGAGCTGCTCAACGGGAGTAGAGATGTCCTTGAGAAGGTCGCCAACGCTGCCGGCGGTCTTGATGATCTGTCCAACGGGAGTTCCAACGCTGGGGAGGTCAAGGTTGGAGAGGAGGGAGGCGACGGAGGGGCTGAGCTGGACGAGCAGGCGCTTAGAGTCGGAGCCGGTGACTTCGAGGACATCCTTGACCTTGGGAGCAAGGTCCTGAACGATCTTTCCATCGGCCGAACGCTTAAGGTTCTCGCCAAGGGTGCCAACAATGGAGCCGACGGGGACACCAAGTTCGGGGAGCCCAAGACCGCTAAGAAGACCAGTGACCACAGGGTCGAGCTGGATCAGAAGAGCGCGACCGTCCTTATCGACAACAGTGAGAAGGCCGTCAACGACCTTGCCGACATCTTGGACAAGGTCGCCAACGGACGCAGCGGTCTTAATGATGGTACCCACGGAGGATCCAAGGCCAGGCAGACCCAGGCCGGACAGGAGGTTGGCAACATCGGGGCTCAGTTGGATGAGGAGCTTCTTGGCGTCGGCGCCAGTAACAGTCAGGACCTGGTTGACACCGTTGCCAACATCCTGGACAATGTGGCCGGTGGCGCCGGCACTGGCACTGGCACTGGGGGTGGAGATGACGTTGCTGGAGGCGGAACCAATGTTCACAGTCTTGGTGACCTCAGAGACACCAGGAACACCACCGGTAGGGGCGGCGAGGGCCGAGGTGGCCAGAGCAGCAAAGAGAGTGATAAAGGAGGCCTTCATTGTGCTTGATGGTATCTAAAAAAAAGGAGAATGGAAGAGAAAGAATAGACTTTGGTATGTTCTTGTGAGATTTGGTAAAGAATGACAGTAGTGGGCTTTGGTAAGGAACGAATGATGCGCTGCTGATGAGAAGAAAGAGGTGTTCTCGAGACGAAGAAAGCCTGCTCTTATATCCCATCGTCGCACAAGTGATCATCACCATTTCCTATCCTTTTAAGACCCTTAGCAGCTGGGACGTATTGCAACTAGCTGGCGGGTCAACTCTCTGTGCTAAGTTGTAATAGCACTGGTAAGGATAGCAAGGGCGTATGCGTGATGGGCGCAGCGTTGCTGGGTTGTGGAGACAGCTACGAGCTTGGTCGATGTTCGATCGTCCCTTCAGGCCATGCAAACCGCATGGCGACGATCAGGCGTATACAGTAGGACTGTTTGATCAGGTGGGCTCCACTGTTGCTTTGTGGGCCTGCAGCTAGGCAGTTAAGATTTCGCTATTGAAATCACCATGCTGTAGACTGACTTACCGTTGCCATTCCCCGATGCCCGTCGAATGAATATCACCGGCAAGGCAGTGAGCCACACGAGCCGTGAACGTTGTTTGCCCAATCGGCAGCCACCCTGATCCGCTGATTGGCGTTGAAGGAGCATGAAGCCACCGGGACATTTATCGCCACTGCCATGAGGATCTGCAGCCTCATCTTACTACTTCGTAGTAGTGTTCAATGACGGGTACCTATGCATTGCTGTTAAGTCTTCCATATCCAGTAATAGTACACATACTATTGGTACTCGCTCTTACTAACGACGTTGAAATGTGAGCACGTCATGTCTGAGACCATGTCGGGTCCCTGTCGATCCAAAACCTCTCATGGAAGAGTGATAAAGGGGGCGTAGATTCAGGAATGAACCCTCGTATTGCTTTTCTCTGCTTGAAGTTGCATTTCGCATAGGGTACGACTATTTGCAGTCTATCTTGCTTTAGGTAATAACGGCCATGCATATTTCCATGCATGCATGCATGCAGGCAAGTCGGTGGCCAGCCAAGCGCAAACGCAAATTCGACGCCGGGGATATGCGATATTACCGCTAGTGAGACGCACATAAGTTCGACAATACTTCCATTTCCAGCCATTGAAATATATTCGTCAATGATTCCTCAAAGTGTCTTTTGAGGGCCCCGCATACAACACATGGTCGGGATAGTATGCCTTACCTGGTAGTATGCTAACCGCGCTAGATCTGTGGTTTTTACCTCTCAGAAGCTGCAGTCGCAGCTCTTCCGGACATGATCACTGCAGTGGAAGTATTTTAAATACTGGCAATTGCATCTTGGGGATGCAGCTGGTACGGCAACTGCATATGCATCTGCACCACAGATCATGAGGGTGATTGACTTTACTAGTGGCTCGATTCTATAGAAATTTGAGTTTGTCCTCCCGCTGTAATGTTGTCTGGAAACGCATTTCATTTGTGAATCTTGCCGATAAACGCGAGATGGAGACAAGCCGTGTGGGCTTCATACGTATCCTGCGGTGATGCAAGGCTGCATGGAGTCAGGGACACAGTGGCTGGTGACGACGCGAAAGCATTGCGCACTTCTCCGTAGAATAAAACTGGATTTTGAACGCAGGGAGTGAACTTCGTCCGTTGAATACCGAACATGCAACAAGAACATTGGAGTTGAGGATCTTAGTAGCCAACCTCATCTTCGACATTCCAGTCAGGGGAATGAGGGGAAGTCAACCGAGCGCTCCTATGGAACGGTTCTTCCGGGAGATGATTCCATATAGTCCCTGGAAAGGCTGGTTAGCCAGCCCACCACGTGGAACTCGTTCCACAGATGGCAGCAGACTCCTAAACAAGAAGAATTTGCCACTCAGGTACACAGCGGGAATTCCAACTGTGTACCGTGATCAACAAGGTCTAAGGAGAAGTGACGGCCCATCTGGTGGAGGTAGGGCGATCGTTGTTTGGTTTCGCATGTCGCAACTTGCAAGGCCATGAGGAAGATACACAGGTATTACACTAGACGATACACCGGATACTTCCCCGTTGGTGGCAAGTTGGCGTAAGGAGAACGTCCCGGTGGGGCCCACTATTGTAAGCATACTGTATTGCCGGGGAATAAGTCCCAGCTTCCCCCTTTTGGTAGGTTGACTGTATGCCTTCAGTTCAACTGCGACGCAAATAGTTCTGGCCATGATCCCTGGTACTCGCAGAACCTTATGTTACTCAACCACCTCAGTTGTTCCCAATCCACTTTCACGAGCAAAAATGGCTCCTAGCTCTTCCGTCTTGTCCCGCGACCTTTGAGAATACTGTCATCGAAATAACGATCAACGTGATCGTCACCATGGAGTAACTGTTCTTGCTACTGACTGAGGGCCAGAAAAAGCCTGTTCCGACGTCTAATGGCCTATGAAGTATCTACATCTCCAGCGGTTTCAGGTTTTACGGGGATGCACAGACAATACATCACCTCCCCCTTTGATTATGGAGCCTCGAATATCCTCATCTCAGTTGCACAGTGGTGGCCCCTGAGCTGAAGTGGTGTAAGAGCATGCCCAAGGTGGAATCTTCCCGGGTAAACGCGGATAGGTTCATCATTATCATTAAGTGAATTACTTACAGGCTAAAGCGAAAACCTGCGCATGCGCGACTTTTCACTAGGAAGCTGGACTTGGTGGTAGCTCTCCTGTGAACCAGTCACTTGCGGTCGCCCCCAGCTCGAAGTCCAGTGTTCCTCCTTGGGCAAAGATGTCGTCCCATGTCAACCAGTTCTTCTTCCAGTCTTTTCCGTTCACGCGAAGACTTTGCACATAGATATTACCGCCTCCGTTTCCATCACCGCCACTCGAACTGACGTTCAGTTTCTTACCACCCCCGAGGTCAATGACAAGCGAGTCAAACCAAGGAGAGTGGATCAAAAAGGTCGACTGCCCTGTCACCGGATACAGTCCGATCATATTCCACAATATCCAAGTCTGCATAGCTCCGGCATCGCTGTTACCGGGGAGGCCAGACACGCTAGTACCATAATAGGATTTCGCAATATCACGCGATCGGAAAACAGACAAGTCCTGCCGGTCGATATAGTGATAAAGATAAGGGACGTTGAACATACTGGACCAAATGGGTTTTATTAGCCGATTTCCTCTGCAAGAGCAAGGCCCGCAAAAGCATGAAGCCAGGCGGTAAAGGACGACTTACGGTTCGTTTGTGGGATCGAAAATGATACCGCTGGAACCACTGGCCCCTTCAGTGAACATGATGTTCAGCCGGTCGAGAACGGTCTGATTTCCGCCCATCTTTTCAATCATTGTCTTCATATCATGAATGCTCGCCCAAGAGTAGGCCCATGAGCTGGCTTCGTAGTAAGGGTCTCCCCAATAGCCGCTGTCATTCAGTGGATCAGTCTCGATGAACCCAGACTCATTCCGAGGGACGACAAAGCCGGAGAATCCCAGCGATGTCTGATTGGCATTCCAATGGTTTCTCCAGTTTCTGGAACGGTTCAGGTACTTCTCCGCATCGTCAGTCTTCCCAAGCCCTGATGCTACCTGATACAATCCAAAGTCATTGCATGAATATTCCACTGCCCGTGTGACAGCACGGCTAAATCTGGGCGTGATATAGCCCAAGCTGAGCCAGTCTGGCAATGCACCTCTTCCTTCTTTTGTGGAGGAATCAGGAGCCTGAGGGTCGACTGGATCGTTGGAAGGAGTCACTTCTGCGTCTTTGACCATGGCCTTATAGCCATCTTCCCAATTTACCGCACCGCGCACGCCCTTGACATAGGCATCAGCCAGAATATTGTCCGCATTCGAGCCACCCTGTGTACGACCGTTGTAATTAGAGGACCGGGCATCGGGCATATAGCCCTCGAATCGCCAGATGTCAATAAGCGACCGGATCTGTTCTTCATATGCGGCGGGTTGCAACACCTGCATGAGAGCGGTAGAGCAGCGAAAAAGATCCTGCGAACCGAATAAGCGATACAGTGTCATTATATTTGTTATCCAATCACTTACCCAGTAGGTGAATATGTCCTCATAGTAAGGTTCCTGGGATGTCCATTGGGGGTTCTCTCCTGTTTGGTTGGTGGGGATCAGGTGCATGAAGTAGAGAGACGTATATAGTAGCGTGAGAGTTGTTTCGTTCGTGTTGGTTGTGGTGACTTTCGACAAGACTTTCGTCTCCCACTCGGACTGAGCATCGTCCACGACCGACTGAAATTCCTTGTCTTCCGGTATTTCATCTTCAACATTCTGACAGGCCTTTTCCGTGGAGATCCACGAGATTCCCACGCGAGACGTAACTACAGCATTTTTGAAGGTAAAGAGACCCCCAACTCGTGTTGAACCTGAAGAAGACGACGCAAAGCCGCTATGTTGCTCAACGCTTCCACCCGCAATAGTTCCAACATAGGTTTTGTTGCTGACGGGCGCGGCATCGAAATGGCCACCTGGGTAAAGTCAGCGAAACCTGCTGTGATATGGCGTATACGTTGACAAGGGGCTTACAGAAGTAGATGGACCAATCGGGGGAACGGTTCCAGCCGTTGTCGTACACGCCGTGGCCTTCATAATGCCCGTCCGGAAAGATGGTGATGTTACCACCTTTGTATCCCTGGCTAAGTCCCATTCCCCGGTACGACGGTAGGACATGCGAAACATCAATCAAGACGTTACCATCCGAGCCGTTCGGAAAAGTGTACTGATAGATTCCTGCATGGGCAGATGCGCTCAGCTCCACGACCGTTCCTTCAGCGGTCTGCGCCTTATAGTAGCCCACTGATGCTTCATCTGCGCCTGACCGGCCGATAGTTATGTTGGACAGCGGATTGCTGATATTTCCAATTAAAGGGAGTTGGGAGACAGTCCCATACTTAGGTGCTCCTCCCGTGCCCTGCTCATGCATCATGCTGAACCCCGAAAAATTGCCATTGGGCAAATATCCCGAATAAGAGTCTGTCCCGGAGACATATAAATCGGGTCCTAGCTTCACCACCCCAAACGGACGAGCAACCCCAGGGAAGTCATTGCCACCACTCTGTGTTCCCAAGCTTGCTCATGGTTAGGCTTGCGACATTTTACCATTCAGCAGGTGTGCTGAATCATGACCGATTCTCGAGATAGCACTTACAATAAATCCACATGGGAAGTCAAGTTTGCAGCGCGGGCAGCTGGCTCAAGTAGACTCAAGATCAGCATGGTGTACCAACTCGCCATGGCTAATCTAGCACAGCGGAAAGCAGCTGAGAAACGAATCGTCGAACCACCCATATCGAAAGGATTTACAAAATATATATCCCAAGAACCAGTACTAGGTACGGCAAGTGGCGGCTCTCAATGGGAACTCTCCTGTGGTTACCAGTGCTATCAATTTAGTTCAGTTCAAAAACGAGTGGGTGAGATCCCAGGTCCAGCGGGGATCCAGATTGGTTTGTCGACAACAGTGACTGGACGGTTGAAGGGATGGATCACCTCTAGTGGTGAATCTTCAGCCCACTGGGCGCATAGGGATCCAGCACATGCCATGATCACCGGTGGTGAGTATTGACCGCTAGCCGCCAACGGGCCAGGAAGCAAGGATGGGATAGCCCCAGTTATGTACATCCATGGTCTGCAGCTTGATTGGTATCTCTCTACCAAGCCCTGTCACACGGGGACCAGCACACTCGAGTCCACATTATCAGGTCCGCCTGCGGTTACAGTGGCTATACTAGTTACACAGGTGGACACATTCCAATCATTTGTTGGTATGTCTCCTTCAGAGGACTGGGCCAAGGCACGGGGCAAGGGAGGGGAAAAGAAGGACCACATTCAGTAGGTGCAGTGAAGAATAAGAACTTGTGCTGCATAATCAAGTTTAGTGTATGAGATCGGAATAAGATATAGGAGCGCAAGATTCAGCCGATAAACCTGTCCGGATGATGGATACATCACGGTGAGTGACAGCCAGTCATGAGCCCCAAAAGAGCACATGCCCCAAAGGTCATTCTTCACTAGGGCATCATCCAGCCCCGTCGTGCCGATCAAGCGGTCCCGGCACATTTCTTGTTCATGATCAGATAAGTTAGCACCTATGTACAGAGTTTGGGGGACACTGAATCGTGGTTGCAAGGCAGACCTGCAAATTGTGCCTGGGCGCTTGATTTGTTGTTTGCTCCCTGGGCCCAATTATCGGGCAGATCATTTCAGCCAATGGTTTCTCCACATGCCTCGGCGTTCAGGGGTCCATCTTTTGAGTGGTTTCATTGGCTGCTGTAAGTAGCGGGTCATCTGGTGCCTTAATCTTATGTAATCTTGGCTTTCGCGCAGCACGGTCAGGTGATTTTGCTTCTTTCTACATGTGGTCTTATGAACAGGCTGTGTAACGGTCCGGAAAACCTCATATTCACCTTAAAGCTTGTAAGTGATGCGCGTTCTGAGTTTAAGCTCAGTATTTTAGCTTGATTACCAGATAGCCACGTGGTTTAGGTCTGGAGTATTCACTCCGGAAGCGCACCAGACTGAATCCTGACAACGGCCTGACTGGATGAAGAAGTAGGTTAGCAAGTGGTTTGCTTAGATTGTTTGATTGGATTAAGACTGTTATTGGATCTTTAGTATCTATATGCGAGTAAAATGTGCACAAAATATATATAGTCTTTATACTGTCTACCACAACTTATTAGTCCAAGAAACAATACTTTATGAATAGTCTACATATTGTTAGAAATGAGGTCTAACAGAGATGCTTAGTGTATATATATCGCAGTTCGGCAGTACTTCGCGAGTAAAGCGAATAATTGAGGGTCTTTTTACCTACATGGGAGCATGAACCCAACACATATGAGCCGTCGTCCTCTCCAAGTCCAACATTCCATGTCTTATCTTATTCATTGTCTAGATAATAACATAGGGCAATGAACCTAAACACAGTGAATTAGAGAAAAACTTACTAGATATATCTGCTATTAGACGTGGCAAAGCTTTCCTGAAGGGCTCGGGATTTCTCGGCTTGGCTCAGCCATAAGCTGAATCTGAATCTGCGATTAAGGCCTCTGAGCTTAGTTAAATGTATATTTTGTCCTTGCTTATGAAGCTTTAAGTTTTGTATATGCTACATATGCCCTTCATTTCAGAATGATTGTATTTGAAAGATAAAGATAACTAATTATAAGTTTGAGCAGATAGACAGATAATAAAATCTATCTATATCTATCTGAAATATTATTATTCATTCAGTCGATATATAGAAGAATGTACATCTACTTATTTCTTAGATAGGGTATAGTAAACTATCATAGTATATAACTATACTAATCTAAAAACAGACTACTGTTAGATATAAGATAGAACCATAAAAATAAAGTATAGTTAGTCTACATACAGCTAGAGTTCATAAGAATATATAGACTTTTGCTAATCTATACTAGAAATCCATTCTATACAAAGTTCTATATTTTAATGAAATCGCATATGCGATGTACTACCCCCGGTGAGTTAGGGGTCACGGCCCCACATCAAATGTTGGTAGCATTCAGCAGAAACAAAGAGGGTTGGTGGGAAGGCCAAGGGAGGAGAACAGAGAAATGGGTAAAAAGTCAGACCTGATGGTTATTTGACTATCTGCAAATGAATAAAATGTGGTTCTCATCCGCATGAACCATCCAACATCGTGACAGAAGGCATGGCCTTTTCGATATAAATTGGGATTGTTCTTCCATGCCATTCAACGCCCACGAATATGCAGTACCATTCTCATATCAAGCCTTGACATCATCGTTCATCTCCGCTGATCGAATAATGCGGCAGGTTGTCTGAACCTCTGGAGAAAGGCTTTTCAGTGCCGATGCAAGCTCATCGGCAGCCTGGACCAAAGAATCATCAGAAAGAGGGTCCAGCGCATCCAGAATGAATAAAACGCGGCTGGTCTCATCAGTCAAGGCGGTCCGTGGGCCCTGCCGCCAATTCCAGCGACGACAAGTGATACCAGTGTTGTCACACCAAATAGGTTCCCCAGGCGCAGCGAGCTCCGATTTAGGTTCCCCACCAGAAAAGGTTTCGAATGGTTCTTGGCCAGTAGCACGAATCAGGAACGGTGATCCATCATATTTATCGAGGTCTTCGCCACCCAGGGGAATTTGGTGTTTGACTGAAATGGCGTTGTAGATGTCTGTCAATCTATTGACCCGCGGCAAGCCACCATCTGCACGACGTGTCAAGGATTCGAGGCTGTTGCGTGTTTTTTGAGGTTTGGCCCCAAATGCTTTATATGCATCTCTCCATGCCGCAATATGCGGAAAGTCAGTGATGGAGGAGTGTTTCGATAGTAGTTCTTGCACACAAGTTTCGGCTTCTTGTAGAAGAACCTCGCTGGAAGCATCGCTAGCACCCGGAGGAATATTCTCAACAACCATCAAAAGAGCGCGATAGTCCGGCCGGAGTTTGAAGATTTCTGGCGCTATCCGCGCGGCTTGAAGCAGCTCATGAGGGGATGTCGTAACTCCCATTATTTAGTATGAAGGCGCTGGATTGTCTGAACAGAGAAGAAGGTATTTATGCAAAACAATGAAATGTACTCATAGAATCAAGGATTATTTTGAGATGAAAATTGCAAAGTAAACCCCAGAGTTCAGACTATTTTCAAGGATATCGCGCCTTTTATACTCGTAGGTTGACATAAATTGCCTCTTCAGCGGGCCGATTGCTGGAAGTACTATATTAGGCAGTCTTTGTAGCAAATTATCTTGGTAGGATCCGTTATAATTGGTTGTTACATTGCCCCACCCCGAACAACTTCCTATTTTAGGTTAGCGTATCCATTTGTATGAACTCTTCGCTCGTGCAAAAGATTTTGTCATTCGAGATAAAATGTTATGTTTCTACTATGCAAGCCTTGGGGATTAGTAATTAAAGTGAAAAATTATAGTCTAACTTAGCTATTAGACCGGTGGCGAATTATAGTTGATGATCTCCCGACTTATAGTATAGAGTCTGACTTTGATATGATCCCGAGGGGTTACAACATCGCTAGCTGACCCGATCCCAATCTATTACATTATCTTATTATAAGAATTGTATTCCTGATCATCTAGTATAAAATTAGCTTACGAAAAAGACACAAGAATACAGAACCGCATTCTGAAGTGACATATGTACTGCGAGAGATTGAGAGAGTTTTTGGCTAATATCTTGTAAGATATAATACTACTCGAAGAAGATTAGGAAGACGGTGATGCTTTCTCACCACTAAACAACCAACAAGATCATGGCGTTTTCTATTTACGGGGCCTGCGTAGAATGCTTCTTGATCCCGGTAAAATCCAGAGCCATACTCGGGATATCAGAAAATCTTCACGGATATAGCTTCGGCTTCTATGGGTTGTGACATTTCGGTTAATGTCTAGATAAGCGTACACCTTGACAGCCTGATGATAAAAAAGATGTATCATTCGAAGATTCTTCCTACCACAGGACACAAAGCTCGGCTGTTTGGCATTGATGAGTGCCAATAGTTCTGGTGTTAAGCTTACGCGCAATAATATTGACGAGGTTCTGTTCTTTCGGTCTGATGATGGGCTATTATGTGTGTGTGAATGGTGTTCAAAAAGTTTATCCGCCTCTTGGGGACCTCTATTAAGGATTGTGTATTTGGCTATGACGACAGCTCAACTACTACAGTTGTTCTTTATTTTCTTCTCTAGAGAAACAGTCAAGGAATAATCAAAACAGATGATACTTCGTATTTCAGCACTGCCTATAACAAGGACTGGAAGTCGGATCTTAGAACTCCACTAAATATGTGTTTGTCTAATGGTCGAAGCTGAAGGAGTACTGCCCAGAATTTTTCCGAAGGATAAGCTCAATTTTCATGAGAGGATTTAGTCGTCAATTGAATATCTTTCAGGAACGGCTGTATCCCTTTCCATGAGGTCTGCTTTGAACACGTCTCTTTCTTCTCTGATTTTTCTGCCTTCTTGTACTCCTAAGACAACCTCCTTGAACATTTCGATAGATACAATCGAATCCTCCCGCGCTGTTCCTCGATACCACAAGAGAAGTGATGCATCTTATCGCAATAGAAGCCCCCAGGACCAGTGCTTATAGCACAGTTGCTTTTGTTATGGCCGGGCAAGCGGACGAGATAAAGTCATTTCCAGCATAACATGTAGCAGCCCGTTGTCCGGGAAAAATAGCTAACCGGCAAATCGCAGTTCCGTCGGCATGTTCCCGAGAAAGAAGCAAGACCAAGACAGGCGACTTCTCTCTTATAAGAGAGAATTTTATAATGTGTGTGGACAGGTGAAAAAGCGTCAGCAAACTGTAGCGTGAGATTGGCCTAGATCCGTCAGGTGCGCTCAAGCCAGTGTGTCCCGATGAGGGTCATGCTCGGCAGTTTCATGCCCATTGCTGAATGGGGAGCACGTTAAACGTTCTCTGGGCTTCTGGACGTATTATTGTACTGTGATATAGAGCACTACGGACTTTGAATACACAAACCCGAAGCTTGACTTGCTATCTGACATTTGAAGAAACGCCACTCGACGCGCTTGTGCTTAGCACGACGAGTTTGGGTCTTAAACTAGACTGACAAGTGAGCGCCTCCTCGCAGAAAAGAGGCGGTCACGCGTATGATTAGCCTCTTGCAGGCAGTTTGTACGTTCAAGAAGACCACCATTCGTCCACTCACAGAGGGTGTTGAGCACTGATGCACACATCAAGTTATAGCAGCTAGCTGCAGTTGCACTAGTAACTGCCCTTTAATTTACCTTTCTGGGGCACTATGCCGGAAAAACTGCAGCGGTGAGTCCCAAGGTACATGCGCTAGTAACGCCAGACTCAGCCCATCAATCCCGACTCCCTCTCACTTCATCTACGCGGCTGGTCACTACAAGATTTCCACGCTTTATCGGGTTTCAAACCAATGAAGAAGCAGCGATAAGATGCTCGATGTTTTGACTCTAGGGATCTGCGTCAGTCGTTCGGGATATTACAGCTCCATTCCATCGTCTTTCGTCCCGTTCAACAACATGGATACATCCTTGTGCATGCTGCAACATCGTCATCATGGATCAGATTAAGTCCGCACGTCATACAACAGATTCTTGCCATCAGTCATGGCATGATAATCAGAGACTACTGCTACTCCAATAAGCAGAGCTACTGCTGGATCTTCCAGTCGCAGTCGAGTCGGTCTCTAGCGTAGTGCAGCAACGCTCCTCAGTGGACGGAAAAACCCGCCTAGCATCTCCGCACAATTTCTCCGGATGTATCCACCGTGGGCCACCAACTCACTCCATTCCCCCGGGATTGCTGGATCCAGCTTAATGTGCGGGGAGAGATGGGGTTTGTCTCTGCGGGTGTGCGGGTATCATGGTCGCTGATGTTTGGGGTTGTTCCCTCGCCAGGGCCTATCGGGTTTCTGCTCGGCCCAGCTGGTTTCTCTCTAGCATGCCCTCCTGCTTTCGGGATCTGCCCCTACACAGTTTAGTAAGATGGAGACGACTGTGATAAATATTCGAATGACCTCCGGGCAGTGAGACTCTCGGCTTCTCCTTTGATTCTCTTTCTTCCCCTGGGAATGCCCTGTGCTGCTAGGATCAATTGTCAATTGCCTACCAGTCTCTGGACAATTCTTCCACAATGAGTCTCCTCAAGAACTATCGTGTTTACCTCCTCACAGCAGTGGCCTACTCGGGGTCACTTCTTTTCGGTATGTATGCACTCGGGAATCGGAATACGCTCTTTGAACTAACGCCTGATGACTATTAGGCTATGATACGGGTGTTATGGGAAGTGTTCTTTCCCTGACCAGCTTCAAGGAAGATTTTGGGATACCTACTGGCTCTTCTGGTTTTGCGTCCTCCAAGAGCTCCGAAATCTCATCCAATGTCGTATCCTTGCTGACTGCGGGCTGCTTCTTCGGCGCCATCTTCGCTGCCCCCCTTAACGAGCGCATTGGCCGACGCTATGCCCTGATGATCTTCACCGTCATATTTCTCATTGGAGCAGCTGTTCAAGTTGCATCGAAGCATCACATTGGACAGATCTATGGTGGCCGTGTCATAGCGGGCTTGGGAATTGGTGGAATGTCCAGTATCACGCCTGTGTTCGTGAGCGAGAACTGCCCCCCAAGCATTCGAGGCCGAGTTGCTGGAATGTTCCAGGAGTTCCTGGTCATTGGAAGCACCTTTGCCTATTGGCTGGACTATGGTGTCTCCCTGCACATTCCCTCAAGCACGAAGCAATGGCGTGTCCCAGTCGCTGTCCAGCTTATTCCTGGCGGTCTTATGCTACTCGGCCTTTTCTTCCTCAAGGAGTCTCCTCGTTGGCTGGCTGGCAAAGGACGCCATGAAGAAGCTCTTCAGTCACTCGCATACATCAGGAACGAGTCCCCTGATAGCGAGGAGATTCAGAAAGAGTTTGCTGAGATCCGAGCAGCCATCGATGAAGAGGTAGCAGCCACCGAAGGGCTGACTTACAAAGAGTTTATCCAGCCGAGTAACCTCAAACGCTTCGGTTTCGCCTTCACTCTCATGCTTTCACAACAATTCACGGGTACCAATTCGATCGGTTACTACGCTCCTGAGATCTTCCAAACTATCGGGCTTAGCGCGACTAACTCGTCTCTTTTTGCTACTGGCGTCTACGGAACTGTGAAGGTTGTCGCGACGGCTATCTTCCTATTTGTTGGTATCGACCGTTGGGGCCGTAAGCTCAGTCTGGTTGGCGGATCCATTTGGATGGCCAGCATGATGTTCATCATTGGCGCTGTATTGGCTACGCACCCGCCCGACACAAGCGCCAGTGGCGTCTCCCAGGCTTCTATCGCCATGGTGGTCATGATCTATCTCTACGTGATCGGCTATTCGGCTTCATGGGGCCCTACCCCCTGGGTGTATGTGAGCGAGGTAAGAAAACGGTTCCTGGGATCCACTTGGCACAAACCCTCTAACAGGCCTGACAGATCTTCCCGACCCGGCTACGTTCATACGGTGTCGGTCTGGCAGCCACATCCCAGTGGCTCTGGAGTTTCGTCGTCACTGAAATCACCCCCAAAGCCGTCCACAACATCGGCTGGCGCACATTCCTCATGTTTGGTATCTTCTGCGTTGCCATGTGTGTCTTCGTCATTGTCTTCGCCAAGGAAACCAAGGGCCGCAGTCTTGAGGATATGGACATCCTCTTCGGTGCTGTCAATGAGGCCGACCGCCGTGCTGCGGTGGAACATACCATGCACAAGCGCGGCTCCTCTCACATCGAGGACGTGGATGAGGAAACCGAGCGTGTTCGCCATGAGCAGGACAAGGTCTAGCTGGGCTAGATCGGTCCTTGTATGAATGAAATCAACCACCCGTCTTTGGGTATGACAGAATGGTTTAAATTAGGGCGAATTAGCATAGATCTAGATGTTAGATGGCGGGGGCTTATATATCGGTCTTCATAGATGCGGGTTTTGTTCATTAGGATCTCGAGATGATTCTATCACCGGCTGGACTGATGTTGTGTGATACTATGCATGTTTTACTTCCCTCTTCCTTCGTCCAATAAATTGATTGTTCTGGTAGAGTTGTGTTTGTAATCCAGTTGGGTATGATCTGGAAAATTTCACTTCCAGCTACGGTAGACCCAGCCACCTCCTGATGTAGAAACCACACAAGGACAGTCAGTGGTGGACATACTAGGACATCCATCAGGACTAGCGCCCCGGGTAAGGAACAAGCATCAAACAACAGGGCACCGAGTCTCTCTCCAGAATTCATAATCAGTAGTAGTACGGTTACAAGTAAGCCATCGATATCAAGACGATATAATCTCGGAAAGCAGATAATGATCTTATTGACTAGAATACTCCACTGAATAGAAAGAGCCTTGCTCAATAGTGTCTCAGACACGAGATTATAGCTTGACCGAATCCAATACTCAACTGGGAGAATAGTATCAAGACTAGGTAGCACCTAGTTCTAGAATCAATGTCCCAGATAATACCACACCTCCGCTATTGACTGGCAATTGAAATAAACTTCTGAATAGGCCTTGCCACTGCTATTAATTGCTTTTTTTTGCTTCATCTCTATTTCCCTCGCTTAACCCTAATTACTCCGAGATAGAAGTGATAGTGCTATTCTTAGATGTGCTCGTGTTGGGCTGAGACATGCGGAAATTGTTGATGCCGATGGCACAAACTGTCCTATTTCTTTTTCTTGTTGATGGTTATCTTGCATGATAGGGATGTAGTGTAGTTGTTTTGAGTTTAGCATCTTCACATAAATTGGGGGGGTTTTCTTTTTGTGTGACGAGGAAATTATACAGATATTAGGTTCTGACAGGTAGACAAATCGACTATCTTAATTAGAGGTAAACGATGAGTACGGAGTACTGCAGATGTTCAGTTAGAGTTAGCGGAAATAAGCAAAAACAGAGTGAACCTTGCATCTAACTATGATGGTTTGTTAACTTCGCTCGTTGACTCAGCCTTGAGGCTGAGCTGACGGCCAGTTGTCCCTTCCTTTTCCTTTTACTTCGCCCCTGTTTCAGTTAATCATCGATAATGAAGCTTTTGATTGTATCTCATCATGGTGTCAAGTTGCGGTGAATGATAGGTCAGCTGGTAGTATTTAAGGTGAGCGAGAGAGTGACAAAATCCCTATCTACTCTTCTATAAAAGCTTCGACGATTGACCTTCTTTCCTATTACCTCGTTCTGATTATCAAAAACATTGACTAGCCCTCAGCAATGTTGCTTAACTGGCTATACTGGGGCTTTGCGACTCTGTACCTGTTACATTTCTTACGCTGGCGGACGCGGCTTCACAAAGCGCGAAAGACTGTCGGATCCCACGGCTGGTTGAAGCAACGGCGGAGCAGCTTCAAGATGGTCTCAAGAAAAAGTGCTTCAATAGTGTTGATCTGGTCAAGGTCTCGTGGCTCCCTTTCTCCGATTTAGTATTGTAGTGTATGCGGTGTGTCTGTAGAGATTACTGACGGTTACAGGCGCATATTGCTCGAATCAGTGAGATTGATGTGCAATTCGGCACGATTCTCGAGTTGAACCCCGATGCGCTGAGTATAGCAAAACAGCTCGATCGCGAGAGGGATCAGGGTTATATCCGAGGGTAAATTGCTCTATCTATGCTACTGAGTGGGTGGCCAATTGACTGTTGTAGTCCGCTGCATGGCCTGCCAGTCTTGCTCAAAGACATGATCGGCACGAAAGATAAAATGCAAACAGCAGGTACCTCCCTTCATTCTGATCAGGCCCCTGCATTGGCTGACAATCTTCTAGCTGGCTCCTGGGCGCTTGTTGGAGCTAAGGTTCCTGCTGATTCAACTGTGGCGGCGAAGCTCAGGGATAATGGCCTGGTTATATTGGGCAAGACTAGCATGTCAGAATGGGCCAATTTTCGTTCGGTGAACTCGTCAAACGGTTGGAATGCGCGACGTGGCTATACGTTTGGAGCATATTATCCTGACCAGGACCCAAATGGAAGTTCGAGTGGTAGTGCTGTTGCGACTGATCTGGGGCTCACTATATTTGCCCTGGGAACTGAGGTACGTCGAATGTTGCCCTGTTTTTGATTGAAATAGGTATTGACTGTGGGAGAACCAGACCAGTGGGAGTATACTGCTTCCAAGCGAAAGAAACAACATTGTCGGGATCAAGCCAACAGTTGGACTTACCTCACGCTATATGGTTATTCCTCTTAGCGAGCGCCAGGACACCATTGGACCCTTGGCTCGGACAGTCAAAGACGCAGCCATTCTGTTGCAAGCCATTTCTGGCCCAGATGACAAGGATAATTATACCTCGGCTTCACCATTTGCAGCAAAGTTGCCCGACTACTTGGCAGCTTGCAAGCCTTCGGGGCTACAAGGCAAGCGAATTGGCATCCCTCGAAATGTCATTGAATACTTGGGTCCCGCAGGTGCCCCGATAGTTGCGGCATTCGAAAAAGCAGTCACCGTAATAAGCGCTGCAGGCGCTACCGTTGTGGATAATGCGAACTTCACAGCGTACAGTGACTTTTATGGCAGCCTGAAACCGGCCATGGTTGTGGCTGCTGACTTTTCGACGAACATCAAGGATTATCTGGGAGAATTGGAGCGGAACCCGAATGATATTCATAGCCTTGAGGATATTAGGAAGTTCACCCAGCATAACGCACTCGAGGGTTACCCGTCACGCGACACGGAGGTGTGGGATCAAACGATCGCCTTGGGCATAGACAACACATCTCCGGGCTTTTGGTCCCTGTATCAAGAGACTCTTTATTTCGGAGGGGAAGGTGGGCTATTAGGGGCTCTTTCTCGTGATAACCTCGACGCTGTCATTCTGCCTACTCTTGTAGGATTCGATATCCCCGCTGTTGTTGGTACCCCAGGTATCACTGTTCCCCTGGGAGCATATCCAGATGGCACACCAGTTGAATACAACACCCGCGGCGACCTGATCCAGCGTGCTCCCGGTGTTCCTTTTGGCATCAGCTTCTTGGGACAGAAATGGAGTGAAGAAAAGCTGATAGGGATGGCATATGCATTTGAGCAGCAGACACTCGTCCGTAATAAGCTCAAGCGACACTTAAAAGTGGATAGTTAGGTAGAATGTGTGTCATAGTATTTGTGGATGTGTAGTAGAATACCTCCATCCGGCTCTGGTGTTTGTATTCGTCATTATATAGTCGTAATAAAGTGAAACCTTTCGGATTTGTTAATGTGGAAGATGCAGTAGACTATCAGGCGGCACCTGTTTCACTAGCCTTACAATTCAGGTGTCAACAGAATGGCCAGAAAAGGTTTAGCTCCAGATAGCCCGATAAGATGGATGGAGAAAGTCTTCCGAGCGGGGTGCGCCTCCGTCAGGCATGCCGGAGCATAGCTCAGACAGGGATTGTGGTTTCGAGATTCATAGACAATTTCTCTGTCCATGAACGGAGTCGAACAGACGTGCGCATCTTTGCGCACGCAGATTGCTGCTACTGAAGCCAAACTTGCCGACTTGAAGCGTGAGCTCGAAATCGCAGAACAGGCTGCCGCGAGCCACAAGCAGAATGCAGCGGATGCTGAAGGAGGATCTGAGAGGAGGTGGCCTCTCCTAGACGAAGAGTATAGACGCTATGGAAGACAGATGATTGTGCCGCAGCTAGGAATACAAGGTTAGTCGAATGTGCCCTCTAGAGTTGGGAGATCTAGGATTGCTGACCAATGCTTGCGCAACTCAGGGCAGCTGAAACTCCGGTCGGCGAAGGTGTTGATTGTAGGAGCTGGTGGATTGGGATGCCCGGCAGCTTTGTATCTTGCGGGAGCTGGCGTTGGTACTCTGGGACTTGTGGATGGAGATGCCGTGGAGTCTTCGAACCTTCACCGTCAGGTATTACATCGGACCAGGAATATTGGGAAGCTCAAGGTGGACAGTGCTATTGAGTACTTGAAGGAGTGAGTCAATACCTGTTCTTGGTATTCATGTATCACTCCTGCAGTATGCTGACTTTGGACTGCTAATTTTAGGCTGAACCCTCACTCCAAGTACATCGCTCACAGGGAGCATCTAGCGCCTGAAGCTGCCCCAGAGATCTTCAGCAACTACGACCTGATTCTCGATTGCACGGACAACCCTGCGACTCGATATCTCATCTCGGATACTGCGGTGCTCCTGGGTAAACCACTGGTGTCGGCCTCTGCACTTCGCACAGAAGGTCAACTAATGGTATTGAACAACCCTCCCCGACCTGCGGGCGACAAGACGGGAGGTCCTTGCTACCGCTGTGTGTTTCCGAAGCCGCCGCCGGCGAATACTGTCACAAGCTGCGCGGATGGGGGTATCGTGGGCCCCGTGGTGGGAACAATGGGCGTTCTGCAGGCTCTAGAAGCGATCAAGGTCATTACTGCGGATGAAACAACTACACCCCCACCGCCATCATTGCATATCTTTTCCGCATATTCTACACCTCTCTTCCGCACGATCAAACTTCGCTCTCGTCGGCCAAATTGCGCGGTGTGCTCTGCCGAGGCCAGCGTCACGGTGGATACTGTCCGCTCTGGCTCTACCGACTACATCTTCTTCTGTGGGACCACAGGTCCAGAGAACTTGCTCTCGCCCGAAGAGCGCATCACGCCGCTCGAGTATCGCACAAGGCATCATGACAAGGAGGAAAAGGAACCGACGATCATCGACGTCAGAGAGAAGGTCCAGTACGACATTTGCAGTCTGGAGAATAGCATCAATATCCCGATATCCACGATCCTGGCTTCCGCGTCGAGTTCTATGAGTAACGGTGACTCGTTGGCTGATGGTGTGCCCGCGTTGCCTTCATGGGTGCCGCCGGACGTGGCATCATCGCAGTCTACCGATCCCGTATATGTGGTGTGTCGACTGGGCAATGACTCCCAAGTAGCTGTTAAGAAACTGAAAGAGCTGGGATTGGATCAAGGAGGGAAGAGGGTCGTGGCTGATATTCGGGGAGGATTTCGTGCCTGGAAAGAGCAGGTTGATCCTGAGTGGCCTGAGTACTAGAGTTGATAGAATAGATAATCGTACTGTATGTAAATAGTTGTCAATGGATATGGCATATGCCGCATTGTTGCAGTGTCTCAATCAGATAGATCCTACTACCAAGATTTTTGACATGATCTACACGCGCCAAATCAGGGGGAATGGCAACTGGCAAAAAGGAGCCAAAAGAATGGGTTTAAAAACGAATCCCCTCGAAGGGATTCGTACCCACAATGCTATTGAAGATTGTGGAGACAGACAGTCGTGATGAGCCACCGCTCGCCTATCGGGAGACTAACATAAAAGAACGACTGTCGATAGTGATTCTTGTTTCGACTGATTCTTGAGCTAGGATTGGAGTAGGAGTTGCCTTCCAGGTCACCTGTCTCGACTGTCATAATCTCTGCTTTCCACACGAAAATCGAAGCTCACACTGGGTCTCTCTTAGCTCAAGAAAAGCACCCACATTCTCTCTTATCTTCTGCGCCCTTTTCCAGTGGAGTAGGCCAGTTCACCTCCCCATTTATTTGTCTGTCAAACACCAGACGTGACTGTTGATCAACTCCTCAACAGTTCAACTACTTCCAGCATAATGATGTCGATTCCTGCATGGCAGTGGGTCCATCCACCAAGCATCTGGGCAGTTCCAGTCATTCCAGCCAAATCCAGGCACCACGCGGCATCTCCGTTTAGTCTGGAGCCGTCAAGTTACCGAGATCCGAGCCTTGAATCTCACTTAAAGCTAGAAGAGCTGCTCTCATCCTCGCTACACTCTACATCCTCTGGAAAAGTGACCCATTCAACAACGAGCACACTTAGCTTATCGGTAAACAGAGGCAGCAAATCACCGACTCGGTGTAAAAACTGGTTGTGCTCTTGGCAGACGGCCCAAGGATCCACTTGGGAAAGTCGGCGGCCGATCGCCACTATTTCGACTGTTGCGAAGTTTAAACTTCTCCCTCTCTTGACTCTTTTCTTCCTTTGCCGAAGCAAGAGCGAAGCGAAAATCCCCCGCTGCCACACAAATCGTTGCCGGAGATATTCCAGCTTACGCAACTATCTGCTTCCTCCCCCTCGCCCAGTCCAATAGGCGTTCAACCTGCACTCTGCGAGAGTTTAGCCGAGTTGCATTTGGCGTCGCCGATCGGATCACGTGGTCTGGGGAAGTGAGGCCGTGGATGAGGGGCCGGCTCGAGCCCCGGATTTTTGGATCGATCCTATCTGACATTAAGGGGTGAGATCGAGCGAGAGGAACTTTGTCGTGGGTAGGTGTACATTTCACGATGGCAGCTCAGGTCGACTCGGACCAGTCTTCCTCTCGGGTCTTACCCGGCGAAGATGATGGACGACGGAACCGCGAATGGAAGCTCTTCAGCAAGCTGAAAAGAGCTTGGAAGAGCTTGGAACTGGATATGCCGACTCTGCTTCTCATGATGAAGTATGTTCTGTGTCTCTCAATTGTTGAGCTCGTATTGATTGATTTCGCAGGGGTGCCCTTGCACCAACAATTTGTGTAGCTATGTGAGCCCAGCCACAAACCTGTGCTTTCTACTCCAGACTAACAAACAAAATAAAGCTACCAAGCGGATGCTGTGGCATCGCTATTCAATACCGTCGGATATTTAGTGGCCATCATTTCCGTCTTGGGGTTCTCAATCATGCCTCGGGCCAAGTTCATTCAGATGATGGTCCTCGACGTGTTAGCTGTCTGTGTTGCATCCGCTGTTGCTCTACTCATGATGTACTCGTGCGTCAAGGCACGAGAACACTCCGAGTCTGCCTCTGCCGCCGCCGACGGAAGCACAGTATACAACTCGTCTGCTGCTGCCGTCAGTGGTGTTTGGTTGTTCTTTGAGATCTACCTGGTTCACACTTTTCGAGCCAAGTTTCAGCAGTTTCAGTTCCCTGTGATTATCTATTCGATCGTTGCCAATGTTGCATTTGTGTATGCTTCTAGGCTTGGGACCATGGCTGCTGCGATTGCGCTCGTCAAGAAATTGCTCGAGGCATGTCTGACCGGATTAGGTGTGGCAACGGGTGTCTCATTGTTCATACTTCCAAAGAGTACTAGAGGCATAGTCTTTAAGCAGATGGCAGGCTACATCGGCGCTCTGCGTGCTGCCCTCAATGCGCACACAGCCTATTTTGAGACGTTGGAAAAGGACGACATGTTCGGAAGGGCAGAGACGTACGATTCGACTGTAGAGAAGGTCACCGATAAGGGCAAGGTGTATAGCCCGGAGGCGCAGGCTATCCGTACAGCCTGTCAGAAAGTCACAGACCTTCATGCAAAAATCCATGGGGATCTGACATTCGCAAAGCGCGAAGTTGCAATTGGGAAGCTTGGGCCAGACGATCTCCAAGCCATCTTCCGACACCTGCGCCAGACCATGATACCCGTAGTCGGGTTAAGCTTTGTTGTTGACATATTCCAGCGCCTATCTGACTACAATAAATGGAACCAGCCCATCGACATGACCGAAACAGAGATCCCCGACCAGGTACGCCAGAGGGTCAGACAGGAGTGGAACGAGATCATGAGAGCAGTTCATGATCCTTTCAGCTCAATGATCCATACCATTGATGAGGGTCTACATCATGTTTCTCTTCAGCTTGAGCTAACCAAGCCACCAAAACCATCGAATGCGGGCAAAGAGTCGGAAGATGTCGAGGCAACAGCTAGTCCAAAACCGGGCGAGAAAGGCTTCGGCGAGTATTACGAGAAAAAGCTTCGCAACTTCAAGTACGCCAAGCGGGTTGCCTTGCGAACTTGGAGCGAAGAGAAGGGAATCATCCTGCCACCTGACTTTTTCGAGCACCCATCATCTGTACATTTGGATGTAGACGATATTCCTGATGATAAGTTTGGAGTCGGCCGAGACAGGAGCCGACGGCAGCTATACTTGATTCTCTATGTAAGCTTGTTCTCATACTTCATGTCGACTGATGCTGACTGTATCATAGGTGGAGCAGCTGCTCGAATCAACTGGCCATGTTGTCTATGATTTCATCCAGTTTGCGGACGAGAAGGTCGCAAGTGGGAAGCTCGCACGGAAGCGCCTCGTAATTCCTGGTTCAAAGCGTTTGCTGAAATGGCTTATTAGCGCTTTTAAGGCGGAGGATTCACATGAGGATGACAACTTAGGTGGCGACATCAACTCACAGAACAATATTCTTCAGTTGGGCGAGGCTTATAAGCACCGAAAGGATCCGGAACACCTGCCACCGGAGAATATGTTGCAGAAAATCGGTGACAAGATTCGCCTCATACCCACAGCATTGCGTTCGCCCGAATCGGCCTATGGCTTCCGAGTTGCATGTGCCACGATGACCGTCGCCGTGGTTTCTTTCCTTCATGACACGCAGGACTTCTTTGTCAAGCAGAGATTCGTTTGGGCCATGATCATGGTCAACCTCAGTATGTCGCCCACATCCGGGCAAAGCATATTCGGCTTCGTTCTCCGTCTCCTCGGTACGGTCCTGGCCATGGTGCTCAGTCTTTTGGCATGGTATATCCCGGGGCAGAAGACCCCTGGAATTATCGTATTTTTCTTCATCTTCTTGACGTGCGTTTTCTACGTACCGATCAAGATTTTCCGCTTCCGTATAATTGGAATCATCACCATCATCTCTACCTCGATGATCGTGGGGTATGAGCTCGAGGTGCGTAAGATTGGAGAGCAGGTGGCCGCTTCCAATGGACAGCAGTACTATCCCATCTACCTCCTGGGCCCGTACCGACTGGCCACTGTGAGCGCTGGTATAGCCGTGGCCTTTATCTGGACATTCTTCCCCTATCCGATCTCGGAACACTCTGTCCTACGCCAGAGTTTGGGTGCCTCCTTGTACCTTCTAGCCAATTACTACTCCGTTATCCACGAGACCGTGTCTGCGCGCATGCGTGGCGATGAGGGTGATCTGGCACTGAAGACATCATCGGGTCGCCGGCTCCTGAAGGCGCGTAATAAGGTGTTCTCAAAGCAAATGCTAATGCTGAACAACCTCCGCACGTATGCCGGCTTTCTGAACTGGGAAGTCGCCATCGGCGGTCGGTTTCCAAAAAAGCGGTACAATAGTATCATAACTTGCATTGAGAAGTGCGTATCCCACACCATCCACTCTCCCCTCACTGCACATCGTGAAAGCCCAAATACTAACTACCACCAGCATCGTAAGCTACCTCAGTCTTCTAGGCTACGCCTCCGACACCCTCCTCCAACTCGACGGCGACGACGAGTCCGACTCCGCCTGGCTCCACGACTTCAAGAGACTAGTCGCCAGCGCCCGCGTCACAACCCACGAGATCACTACCGTACTATGTCTTTTATCCGCAAGCATAACAAATCGTCAACCGCTGCCTCCGTATCTAAAAGCACCTCGTCCATACGGTTTCTCCAAGCGTCTGGAGGCACTAGACAAAGACATTCTGAGTCTGCGACACATCGCGGAGCCAGGATTCGCTACGTTTTCCGTGCTGCAGATCTCGACACGCTGCATCGTGGGTGATGTGGAGAGATTGATGAGGTGAGTGGGCTTGTCTATTATCATTTGTTGGGATGAGACCGCTAACGAGCGTTATTCGTATGATATAGAGACGTCAAAGCCCTAGTAGGCGAGCTGGACTTCTCGTTCCATGCTATTAGCACAGCGCATAGTGCTAAGTCTTCGGCGGAAGTATCCCGGCTTTCGAGACCGCCGTCACGCGATAAGATGGATTAATTGATTGATTGATTGACGAGGCATGAGTGATTGATTGACTGATTGATTAATTGTATATACCCGATAGATGTTTTGGTGTTGTTGCCATATTGTAAGGAGTATCGATGGCATTCGTACTAATTGATAGTGTATACAAACTGGCATACTTGAAGCGAACCAAGAAAAATTGTGCACTACACCTCGAATATAGGAATCCAAACAAACATTATACTTAATCGGACACAAAATTCATGAGTAGATATAACCCCCCTTTCCATAATGGCGTGCGTAAAACCACTACTAATAACCGATAACCCCGCATCTCCTCCTCATCCCCTCTCCTGCCTCATCACACCATTTACTTACTCTATAACTACTGCAATCATACTTACTCAACCCAGCCCAACCACAACTACAAACACAATTGCACAATGACCCAACCCAAAACAATCCTCATAACCGGCGCCGCCGGAGGCATTGGCCTCGCCACATCCCGGCATTTCAACACCCTCCACCCCACCAGTACCATCATCCTCACTGATCTGCCCACTCACCAAGAGGCCACTGAGTCCTTGATTCAGAGTACATTCCCGCACCCGGAAAAGGCAGTCTTTCTCCCCGCTAATATTACGGACTGGGGGCGAATGACACATCTATTCAGGACGATTGCACAGAAATACGGCGGGGTGGATGTGGTGGTTGCAAATGCGGGAATGATGGAGTCTACGCCTGTTCTAGATTTGGAGGATATTGATGAGGAGACAGGGGAGTTGAGGGAGAGTTTGGAGGCAAGGAGGGTGGTGGATGTTAATCTGATGGGGACTTTGAATAGTATGAATGCCTTTCTTTTCTTCTTTTGTGCTCTGGGGTGTGAGGTGCTAATGGTGTGAAGCTCTGCGATTGGCGATGTATCACATGAAAGAGAAGGAGAAGAAGAACGGTTCAATTGTGCTGGTGGCTTCTACGTCGGGTTATTTTGGAGGCACGGGTGTCACAGCTTATGTGGCTTCCAAGCATGGTGTAGTGGGATTGCTTCGGGCGTCGCAAGTGACGGCGCAGAAGTATGGCATCCGTGTTAATGCCGTTGCACCATTCATGACCCCAACTAGAATGACGGCTGGTTTGTCTCAAAGCTGGCAGGATGCTGGGCTCGAGGCGAACACTCCTGAACGGGTGGCGGAGGTTATTGAGCAGGTCGGGATGGATACGGCCCGGAGGGGCTCTTGTATGCTGGTGAGTGCACCGAATAGCAGGAGTGATTGTGATGTACAGTCGCACTAAGGGGTTTATGTGCTAGGTTGCTGGAAGATTTCTCAGGGAGATGGAGTCGACGAGGATGGCATTGCTCCCGTCATGGCTAGGTCAAGATGTTGCGGATTTCATGGCGAAAGCAATGAAGTTCATTGCAGACATCGGAGGCTATGTGCTTCCTGCTCGACTATAGAGAGATTGGTTATAGGCAATCACGTGAAGGAATTTTTTTGGGATGGCATGGGGCCACTCTTTTACCGCGCTCATTAGATCACTGCTCCGGGGTTAAGTCACCGAGGGCAGAGCCCACATACCAGTCATTGCGCGGCAGACCCTTTGCCCCAGTGGCCAGAGTTGGACATTGGGCTTCCAGGACGGAAGGAATGTAAGGACCACCAATCAGGCAGCTCGTGTATCATAGTTGTGCTGAGCCAATCGTCATAGCTGCCCTGTAACCAGCTCCCATCTCCATATCCATGTTTGGTGCCTGTATCTCCCCAGGAACATGTGCCTCTACCACGCGGTCTGTGCCCTGCCCCTTGCATTTCGTACTTTCACCATCTGCCCTTTCCAAGTGCTGTAGCAGACCCCTTCCAGAACGATGATAGCCTAGTTTGAAGTCCTATTTGAGCAGCGTATTCCTCCACGTGTCGTGGAAAGAGTCCAGCGTGTCCGCGAGAGACCTGCGGTACTATTCCCTATGGGAGTTGAATATATTGAATTCAGCCATGCGAAGGATGGCCTGGAGTCGCAACTTTGCAACTGTGCTAGTTCTCAGAACCTGGTCGAGGTTGCTAGTGCAGAGCACCTGCGCCACAATGCCACGGCGAACCTGGCCGCGGAATGGAAACCCGGTGTTAAAGAATGGCTTGTCCTGACCTGCGTGTCTTTATTGTTGACAATGGATGCGTTCAACGCGACCGTACTGCTTCCTATGATAACAGTATGTGTGTTGAATATGTCCGTCCCCGTCTAAGCGGCTGATCACCTGATATGGATAGAATTTATTAGCCACCTCTGAACAGCCACTTGGAAGCACGCTATGGATTGAGGCATCATATATTCTGGCTAGTGCGGCAAGTCAGCCATTCTCTGCCATGCTCGCAGCCATTTTCGGGGTAGGGCCTATTGCCCTTGGAGCCGCTGTGCTCGCTACAGTGGGAACGGGGGTCTGTAGTGGTTCGATGAGCCTAGCTTGTCTAGTTCCAGGGCGGTTTGTTCAAGGCGTAGGCTGTGGAGGAGCAATCACGACCTCCCTATTGATGATAGATGAAGTCATCCCATGTCCCCACCAGGCCCGATTTACTGGTTATGCCTTGCAGGCTCGAGCGGTCGGGGCTATTGTTGGCCTTATCTTCGGTGGAGTGCTTGTCAACCATGCTGTCTGGACCTTTTATACCAGTTTCGTCTTCTGCGCACTGGGGCTCTTGGTCATTCCGTTCGCAGTTGAGTTGCGGACCTACAAGCGTATCGCAAAGTGCAAGGTGTGCGAGCTTGATTGGCAAGGTGCCGTGTTGACCTTTATGGGAATGGGTTGCCTTCTCATAGGTATCAACTGGGGCGGGATACTATATGAGTGGAGTAACTGGCACGTACTGGTAGTTCTTGGTGCTGGGGCAGCCTCGATCATCGTCTTAGTCCTGTACGAGAGTCTGTGGTCCATCCACCCGCTTTTCTCTTCGGCAGTATTCAGCGACATCGCAAGGTCTATGTTGTACCTAGGTAGCTTGCTGCACGGATTTTTGGTAAGTCATCAGCGTATGGTAATGGAGAAAACACTACTGACTTGCAATAGTTATCCTGCCATCTCGTCAACTGTGCCTTGTATCTAAGACTGGTTCAAGACTTATCGTCTGCATTCGAAGGGCTCAGCCTCCTCACCGTCGTCAGTCCAGCATTATTAGCACTTATTCTGACAGAAAAGGTGAGACTGTTGCGAGGCCCGAGCGCCTTTCCCTGGATGGTCCGGATCGGATGGTTTTGCAGCGTCCTCGCGACAGGCTTCTTCATTATCCTAGACGTCAGCACTCCACCTCAAGCATGGGTTTTTATCTTGCTTGGTGGAGGCATGGGTCACTCCTTGCTTATATCCGGGTACCATCGAGGCGTCCACTATATACACCAGCCAAGCAGAGATAATGAGCACTACCCAGCATCAGGCATCCTCATGTATTCTCTTCTGCGGACATGGGGGATGTGTATTGCTGTCCCTGTGAGCGGAGCGATCATCTTGAATCGAATGTTTAGGGAGGAGGGTACAGAGGAAAGCATGAATTTTGATGTTCAAGCAGGCGGATCCTCTTTATCGCAGCAGGGCAGATCTCAGAAACTGATGCTTGTAGATGGGTTTCATATGCTATGGCGTGTTATGGTCGGAGCTTCTGCTTTAGGGGGCATTAGCTCGCTGTTTGTGAAATGATGTATAGCAGCGTGTGAAGCAGCATTATGAGATGATTGAATGCATTTATTTGAACATTTATTCACATACCGGCAAATATGGAGATGGGAAGACTGCCGCTTGTTCGAGAGACAAAACTAAACGGGAAGGAACGTCTGCTTCACGACATCCACCATCCACCATCCACCATCCACCTCCCCTACGAGTTACTACAGGTTACTACACACAAGAAGGAAGTGCAAACCACACTAATAGATTCAAGACCAACACACGCAACTTAGTTCAGGGAATAAATCCAAAACTCAAATGAAGACATCACAAACATCACGCCAACTGAACATCATCATACTAGAAGAAATGGTATCAAAAGACAATAAACATCGCTTCAAACACCAAATCAACCAAGAGCAATACATCAGAGAGATACCTCGAAGGAGGCAAGTTAAATCATTCAATCACTGCTCACGCTCATCCTCGTCATCCTTATCATCATCATACTGATCCTTGTTCTTCTTGGGATAAGGCGTAGGCACTCTCTTCAACGGAGCACCGAAGTCATAATCGTCAATTCCCATCATTTCAACCACTTCACCCTCACTAACACAGATGTTTTGTTCTTTGTCTTGGGTCGGGGTCTGCTCGACGGCACCATCAACAACAAAAAGAGGGTGATGATGTGACACCTTCTGCTTTTTCTTCGGCGGCTCGTGGTTGTTGTTATTGGTCTGGGAGGCATACATAGAGGTGGTTGGCTGATTCTTGGTCTTGACGACCTTGAGCCAGTTGGAAAAGGAGACAATCTTGTCCATTTTGACTGTTATTGATGGTTTGTTTGATGTGAGAGAAAGTGAAGAGTGGATAGACAGAAGCTTGCAAGAGCAAAAGCAAGAGCAAGTAGGATAGCTAGAAGTGGTTTGTTTAAATGAACTTCAAGCGTAGTAAGTAACGGAGGAGGTAGTTGAAGGAGGGAAAGAGTCGAGTTTTGGGCTAGCAAGGAACGGGGGAGCTTTTATACTTCCCCCTAATTAAGGTTTGTGACTCCTTCTATGTTCTATATCACGCCTACCTCATCGAAGCTACTATTTTGGGCCAGTAGCAGAGTCACTGTGACTGTTTGTTCCGGTGGACGGGGGTAATTCACAGCCCCTATAGGGATACATGGAGCAGTGATGTATACACATCGTTACGTCCGCAGAAGACAGTATTGACACACTGCCCTGGTGTTGAGGTATAGTGACATCACAAGATGTAGCGAACTTGGCTTGATTTAGCATTATCGGTTTCTCGACTTCGCGTATAAGTATACGAGTCTTGTTGATGTCATCCTGTGAGTCAAGAGGGATGATGAAGACGCGGGTGAAAATAAGGAGAAGAAGCCATTGCATATTAGAAATGACTGTTTGAGGCCATTCCCAAGCCTAATGTTCGAAAAGGTTTTGTTGCTTGTCAAATGAGGCTAAGGAATTACAGGGTCAGATCAAAAATGATCGTTATAGCGGCTTGTATCCCGCACCATACTGTAAGCGGCAGATTATCGTGTTATATCGATGTGTTGATAAGTTGCTTTGCTACTTTGTGGCTTCAGAGAGGAAAGGGTGAAAATCCTGGACTTAGTTTGAATGCAAAGAATATTCGATTCCAGGATGATGCCTCTACTAATAAAAGACTTTTTGGGAGTGTGAAGTATAGCCGGCTCGGCTATCCAGATTAGACTTTTGTTCCTATCTTGGGACATCGGGTGGGAAAGTTTGGTTCACGATCGCCATCTTATCAATTGTTAACACTGTATACTCCTTACTACATGTGAAAGGAACATATCTACTTGAAAACTCTGTAGACAATAATGTCATTGTGTCGGCTGGTTATTCAACCAGATTAGGGTCGTGAACACTCCCCATAATTTATTATAGAAGTAGATACAAGAAAGGTAACTTCTCAAGCACGCCGCATCCCCTGATTACATCCACTGCTATCTACCATAAATGAGTCAACTCATTTACAGGTTGCCCTGACCGGCGTTAGCAACAACGCTAGAGGCAACAGAGGTGTAAGCGGAAGCAGAGGCAATGTTCTTGCCCTCGAAGTCGGAGAGGAAAGAGGTGCTGTCCTCGGAGAAAGTGCCGGAGGAGCCGAAGCCGTTGATGACACAGTCACGGCCAAGGTAGGTGGAGCAGACTTCACCGGCGGTGGTGGAGGGGACGGTGAAGGCCGCGCCCTCGTAGGTCTCAAGGACGGTGTCGACGTTCTGGAAAACGTTGCCCTCAGCCAGGACGTAGCCACCCTCACCGATCTCAAAAGCGTGGCCGGAGATGTCGTAGAAGTAGTTGTTGACCTGCAACAATGATTAGTCAGGTCGGAAGCGGCCAGCAGAGAAAAGGCAACTTACACAGTGGAGGAGAGTGTTGTCCTGGACCTTGGGGCTACGGCCGGAGGTGTGGTAGATGTAGTTGCCCTTCATGGTGACCAAGTCGGCGTCACCATCGAGGTAGATGCCCCAGTAGTGGTAGCCATCGCAGGTGGCGGAGTAGTCGGAGACACCGTCAATGTAGTTGTTGGTGAGAGAGACGCGGTTGTCGGCGCTGGTTCCAAGGACGTAGTGCTGGCGACCGATGCGGGCGGTCTGTCATATGTTAACTCAATGCTCTTGAAATATAATGTAGAGTTGAATAAGATGAAGACGTACAGTAACATGGTCGATCCAGACCAGGTCGCAGTCATCAAGAGTAATAGCATCACCACCCCAGACGTACTTGGGGTTGATGTCGGTAACCGCGATGTTCCTGATTTCGTTAGAGAGCAAATTCCTAATGACACCGAGCATAACCTACTGGATGATGATGTTCTCAGCACCGCTGACAATACGGAGACCCTTGCCCTTGATTGCACCAGAGGAGCCCTCACCGATGAGGGACTTGTTGGAGGTGACGGTGATACCGAGGACACCAGCGTTGTAGCTATCCAAGTTAGATACAAGATCGAAACGGGTGACAATCCCCAAGGACATACTATTCAACGCTGATAGAGGGAGCATCGGGCTCGTAGTTCTCGCACCAGTCGTCCTGGTCAATAGCAACCTGGCAGGCGGAAGCGGTACCCCAGGGAGCGCAACCAGTGCCAGTGGTGGTACCTTCGCTGTCGGTGAAGTCGAAGGTCTTGGTCAGGACAATGACGCGGGCCTCATCGTCTCCAAGGTAAGAGACCAGCTCATCGATAGTGTCGGGGTAGACGGGGGTGGCATCACCGCCACCGGTGACGCCCTCGGCGAAACCCTCAGCAGAGCCGGACACGCCGACTGCAGCGGCGGAACCAGCGAAAACAGCGGCAGCAGCGCTGAAGATAGTAGAGTACTTCATGGTGAAGTGTGTAGAACCAGCTATGAAGGGGAAAGAAAGACTAAGGTGAAGATAGAGGTATGAAGAGAAAAGGAAAGAAAAGGAAGGAATGGTTTGATACAGAGAAGAGGTCAATACGGATGGGATTGGGGCCTTTTATAGGGAAGACTGACTCGTTGACGGAAGCATTTGACAAGAATCTGATAGAGCTTCCCCTCTGGCTCAGACCCATTCTGGGTAAATTGGACGGGTGATCGGTATGAAACGGCCAAGTGCATCTTTGATTAGTAGCCAAGGGCGATTGAGCAAAACCGTTGATTCTTCTCGGTCAGTCCACCGGCGCTAAAGTCGGTACTGGCCGAGCAAGTAGATTGAAGGGGGTCCATCGTATCGGACCATGGATGGAGTGATAGGCATCGATGACAACCAAGATTGGAAGGGGGAGGGAGGAGTCGTAGCCACATGGTTGTCCATCACGGTGATGGCCCCTGTTCGTGGACACTGAGCTGGACAGCCCACTGTCTTGCAGGCTGTTGAAGGTCATAGGTGGATCTTAGGAGGGAGTCGGGGGATTTACGGCGTTTCATGATGCCCGCGCCGGCGCACTTAGTCACGGTAGTCTAAAGTAACTAGTCCATCCACTCGGGCTGGTGGACCTCGCGATTGAAATTCTGTAAAGAAGCAATTCCTCCGTCTTGGCAGAGTCCTTGTGGCAATGATAGTCGGGAAAATACCGAATCCGACCATCAGGGTGTAGCTAGTAGTTTGAGGATGTTACGGATGGAAGGCTGGACGTGCTCGACAGTTAGGGCTGTTCATCAGTGGTGAAGAACAAGAGGGGAACCGGGGGGGAAACAATTTTGCATCACGAATCCAGCTTCTTTGAAAGGTTTAGCCTCCACTGAGACCGTTTCCGTTTCGATTATTAATGGATCCAGTATCTCCCCACGCCTCTCTATATCTCCAGTCGGTCTTCTAGTCAAATGAGAGCAGCTGGAAAAGCTGCGCAAAGTAAAGAAAAAAAAAAAAGAAAAGAAAAAAGCCACGAATTAGGCGTTCTTGGTAAGGCGCCAGGAACGCCGGTCAAGTGGCCCACAGTGGAACCTTCGGGCTTCGGCGATATCAGGACACCACCCATCAAGTCGACCTCCGGGCAGCTATTGCTCCTCGAGTTTCGAATCCAGTGCAGAAATTTAGCCGTCCATTTTTAGCACCGATCTAGTTGGTTGACTGATGATTTTGTCATCCAGTCTGAACGGGTGACTGGTCACGATAAGGTGGGAGTATCTCGGACTCCGTAGGCATCAATCATAACTCATTTTTATCACGAATCAGGGGAGATGGAGTGACGTTGCCCCTATCAATCATATTTCCGGTCCAGCTGCACACTATACTGAGACATTTTCCTGTTAAGCTTGGATTCCGGTGTCTTGGCTCATCAAGCTTCGAAGCCGTAGAAGGAGCTTATTCCACACCAGAAAAATATACCGAATCAGACAATACGGGGTGGTAGTTTAATTAAACCCCATCTATGTGGTCTGTCCAGTTTGTCTAGAACTTGGTGAGCCACATCGAGGTGCCACTCACGCTTCGATGAGGGCTATAACATCACCCAGTTAGAGTTATCGAGCTAAGCCAACTGCGATCAGACGCATGGGTACCGGGCGCGCGATAGGGGTTGTTGTTGTCAACGCCCTAGATTATGCTTAACCAAATCCAGAATCATCCCCGAGGCTGTCGTGTTTAACTCTGATGGCTTCCTTGATATTGAATACGATGGCTGCCGTGTGCAAGTGCTGCGCCTTCTAGATTGGCTAACCTCTGATATGGGAGCCAAACCCCGCTTTTTGACAGCATCTCGAGTTGAGTGTGGAAGCAATCATAAGCATGCAAGTTATTATTACGAAAAGTAGGTTGGTGATATATTGCCTGAGTAAATGACCCAGGGGTATTCGGAACCACCCGGAAGAGACTTGCTGGTTCCAGCCTCATCAAGGCCATCATTCACTTCAAACGTTGAGCTTTCTCGGCGGTGGTCCCTCGCCTTTATACTATTTGTGGACATGTTCCCTTGGTATATTGCTTGGCTGAAAAGCAATCTTCCGTCAATGCCTTGAGGAGAATTGGATGTAGAAAGTCACGCAGTCGGAGTTGGATATACGCGCATGGCGGGAAGGACTTGATGCAGGAGTAATATAGATTCGTCATTCGCAGGCCGCCACCGGCATTTTGCTGCATGTTGATGGACCACCGATGCAGGCTACTGCAATGTGATAAAGTGCGGGTGATGCATAATCCCACTACCGCGCACGAAGGAAGCAAGCGTCAGTTGAATTCCACCAAGACGAGAAGGAGTTTAGGATGGTGGAGAAGCCCAGTTGGGGTTAGTTTGGATACCTGAAGTGATGTGACTTGTTGCCTTTCTGCCTTAAAGCCTTGGGGCCTTGGGGCCTTGACACCTTGTAAATTCCTGCCTTGGCGCCTCAGACTATTGATGCCTTGTAGCCTGATATATACGGCTAGACAAGATGCCTTATAGCCTTAGGCATACATATTTCGGAACGGCAAATGATTTCGGCTCCGTTTCCCCTTTGGGACATTGCCTGTTGGCCGAGCATCCTCGAGTCACACGGACATAGAAGGGGACAGTGGGGTTAGACATCAGTAAAAGAGGCTATCTTTGCTCTCATATAGCTACTTACTCGCGATTTGGCACAACTCATCTTCAATTGACCTCCGATTCGAGGTCACTGAGTGGAATTATATTCAGTCCAGTGCCTCGCCGTGTATCCCCGACGCTTGCAATTAGCCTTTGCGTGATTGGCCAGCAGTAGCTGAGTCAGCCATTTGCCGGCCGCCAGACCCGAGGTTACCTTGAGCTGCCAAAGGCGACAAAACATCGCCAGAACCGATCGACTTCACTTCCTCGTGCCTCCCTTGGACCTCGTTTGTCGTTGCCGCTGGCTGGCTGCTCTTCTTTCAGGCCTCTCTCCTCTCCCTCCACCGCCGTCGACGTTCTTTCGTCTCATTGACCTCTCCTACTTGCGCATATCCTATTTTTCGCCATCTGTTAGATCTCTCGCCCCCCGATCGACCGTGATCTGTCTTTCGACCGCCCACAATGGCTGCCCTTCGCACGACCTCGCGCCTGTTCGCTTCCTCGAAGCCGCTGTTCCGCCCAGGCGCCTTTTCTCGCTCCTATGCGACTGTTGACGCCCTTTCCCAGGTGAGCGCAAGCGGCCACGCGAGCAGCAAGACCATTCCCGAATCTAAGACTTCGAATGTGCAGGACCCTAGCCCC